AACGACGAGTCGGCCCAGGCCGCTGCCGGCGCCGGTGCCGACGACGCGACGCTCTCGCCCGCGCGCACCGCCGACGTGGCCCTGTTTGGCTTCGAGAGCCTCATTGTGCTGCTCGACGCCGAGCCGCTGGGTGTGCCTCGGGTGCGTCGCGGCCTGGCCAAGCTCGTCTCGAACCTGCTCTCGCTCTTTTCGGACCGCATCGTCAGCCTCGCGGTCGCCGACGCCGGAGCGGGTGGCCAGGGCCCGCTTGAAAACGTCGTGACGGCCATCACGCTCATCCTGACGCAGGACGAGGCCCACGGCGTGTCGTCCGCGCTCGAGGCGCTCACGCCCTTTTCGCGCGCCGTGGTCAAGACGATGCAGCTGCGCCCGCCGCCGCCGTCGTCGCCGGCGGTCTCGACGCTGCTGTCGGCGCTCGACCACCTGACGACGACGCTGCTGCGGCTGCTGCTGCTCGACCCGCTCGACAGCACGCTCGTCGACCTGGTGCTGACGTCGCTGCGATCCCTCGTCATGGCGCGCACCCACCTCCCGCCTTCGCTGCTACCGGCGGCCCAGGAGGGGTTCAGCGCGACGCTGCAGAACTTTATCGCCACCACCTCGCTCACTTCGTCGGCGTCGTCTCGACCGTCGTCGACGACGGTGGCGACGGGCACGCCTAGCTTTTTGTCCGCCGACGAACCGACGCGGCGCCAGGCATTGGGCGGGACGGTGGAAAAGATGGTGGGCGATGCGCTGGCCTCGCTGCGGCCCGTCATGGAGGACGGCGAGGTGCGGGCGCCGTGGCTGTACGACGTGGATCTGAGCGTGGCTCGGACGTGGCAGGCGCGGGAGCGCGGTCAGGTCGGAGCGTTTGTCGAGCGGTGGCGCGGCGACGTGGCGCGGTGCCGTGCCACTGTGCGCGTGCGGTGATCAACGAGGTGTTCGACGTGTAAGAGCGGAGCGGGCGGGTTCAGAGAGACTAGAAAACTGATGCTGTTGCAGGGGAGCTTGCCGGGTATGCAGAGTCGTAGAGAGAGAGAGAGAGGAGGGTGGAGTTGTACACGACAATGGGGATGGAGATGCAGGATGGGGACGAGGAAGGGAGACGAACTGCTGCTATCCGTATACGGCTGCTAGTGCGGTTCAGAGCCTGCGCAGACCGCGTTTGGGTCCGCCGCCAGCCATGACTTTTTTGGGGGGCGGGGGGGCAGTCGAAGCCGGCTGCGTCGCCGACGTCGCCGTCGTCGTTGTCGTTGTGGTGATGCCTTGCTTGGCGAGAGCGGTGGCAGAGACGACGACGGCGGTTGCAGCGGCTGCTGCGGTATTGACTGCGTTTGCGGCTACGAGGTTGAGGGCGAGCGCATCCGATGGCGTCGACGCAGGTGCCGGGGCGAGGGCGGGCGCCTTGGATGTCGAGTTCTGCTCTACCCTCGTCGTCATCGCGGAGGAGGAGGAGGAGGAGGAGGAAGGTTGGGAGGGTAGGAACGGGCCAGCAGCGGCGGGAGGGGGTTTGGCGGCGTAGATTTCCGTCCAGAGTCTGGCCGTCTCGGCGTACTGCGCATAATCTTCCTGGAGCAGCCTCGACGCTTCTGGATCCAGTGCCGAATCGGGGTTCGGAGCGATGAGGAGACACTTGATCGTCTATTCCCCCGTCGTCATCCGGACGTGTCCCGTTGGACAGGGAAGGATGGGTGGGTGGTGTCAGTGGACTACCATGGAGGTATATGCTAAGGGGAGTGGGAGTGGGGGGGGGACGTACGACGAGGATGCGTCCGATGCCGTAGTCGGGTTTCCAGTCCTTTTTCAGCGTCGAGACGCAAATGTCGCCCGACCGCGATACGTTGGGATGGAAGATTTTCGTCGCAAACTTGCCTGTCGAGTCGGTCGGGCCCCCCGCGCCCGGCACAACGAAAGCGATCCCGCGAGTCAGTCGAGTCGAGCCCTCGTCAAGAAGCTAGGGCAAAGGCAGAGGAGGGATGGGGGAGCGAGACTCACAGACGGGCGGGACGTTGGGGAAGTCGACGCCTTGGAAGTCGAACGTGATCTCAAAGGTGCCGGCATCGTATGGCGTACCCGCTACCCTCGCGTTTCCGCGTGTACATCGAGCCGTGTGGTGCGTTTCGTTCGCCGGGGCGTCAGTCTACGATTCTCTTTCGCAGCGCATGTGCAATCGGAGCGCGCGGAGGACGAGGGAACTCACGAGGTCCTTGGATCCACGCCCGGAACGAGAGGATATCCGACTCGTCGAGCACGACCCGCACGCCGTCTGGCGGCGCCGTCGAGAGGGCAAGGAGCTCCTTTGAGAGGCGTCGCAGTGTCTGGGGGGCCACCATGCTTGTCGTTCTGTTCGGTTGCGTCTCGCAGGAGGGGTGATGGTGTCGATGGCCGGTGATGGGTGGGTGCGTCGACGAGAGATGGTGCGGTGGTGATGGGTTTTTGTCGGCGACGACTGGCCTGGTCGGGTCGAGGTGTTGGGCGGGCTCGACTCGACTCGAGACCAACACCTCTCTTCTCGACGCGTCAAGGGCCAACCAACAGCCCAACCAACTTCTACCAGATCGGCCAGCCAGCAGCCATCGGGCGAGGCGAGCGGGGCGCGCGTGCCTCCACGTCCACATCCTAGCCCGATGCCACGATGACGCTTCCATGACATCAACCACCGGAATCGTTGGGCTGGGCTCGCGGCTCGCACGATCCCGCCGCCATCGAAGGACCAAAGAGGTGGCGGCGACCGGAGCCGCCGCCATTGACGTCGATGGTCGTTGACGTTGACGTTGGCATGCTCCTGTCAGCTTCCCGACATCGGCTCGGTGGTATGTGTAGAAGCATGGTGAGCCGACTGGCTCGAGCCCCGCTCCGCCTCCTGGGCCGACACCGAGGACACGACGAGGCGAGCCCGACCCGTGTCGGACCGAATCTTGACGTCGATGACGAAGCGGTCGTCTCTCGCACTTGCCGGCCCAAGCCGGCTCCTGCGTGCTCTCGACCTACCGACTGGGATCGGCCGTTGGGACGCGCTTGGCGTTTCCTCCCTCTTCGATCTGCGACGATGGTGCCGTCCCAAAGAGCGGGACAAGGTGAAGACTCTGTGCCATACGCGCCTGCGTGCGGTCGAGGTCAGACGATCGTACGCTCTCGACCGTCGTCGAAAGATGCTATGCGCTCCGCTCGCTGTCGCTCGGTCGGCCGGCGGTGGATGCTCTGAGACCCGGTATGCTAGACACCCGCGGGCCTCGGGATCTCCCGTGGGCGAGCGTAGGTACCGAAAACGGCCGAAGCTGCCAGCTCGTCGCGAACCCCATCTGTCGCTGATCTCTGCGGCGAGGAGGAGCTGCTTGTAGACAGAAATCGAAGGAAAAAAGGCAGACGAAAATCTTTCCTTCAGTCGTCGTGTCGCGACCCGCGGGCCGCGGGTTCCGGCAACCCGGCTTCTTCATCGTGGGCAGCGCGACTTGCAGGGGAAACGGGCCGAGTCGTCGGAACGGTACGCCAGGAAGAGCGACGCTGGACCGGCCCAGCGTTCGAGGTCGATACCGATTGGCGTCTTGATGCTGCGCGACCGGGAGCAGGGACGAGCAGGTGACAGAAACAGAAGATCGACAGCAGGCGTGCGTGCGAGCAAGCCAAGCCAAGCCAAGCTCCTGTCTCGCAGCGATTTCCAGGGTCGGTCCCTGCGCCAGCTTGCACTGCACGCCTGTCAGTCGATCCTTGGCCACGATTCGGGCACGATGATTGGAGGCTTACACGCCCTACGCCGAAGTCCGACGACGAGCAGTCTGTGTGTGAGCCTGCTGGTGCTGGTCCATCTCGGCCTGGTAATGCCGACACGATGGGGAGGGACGCAGGCGGGAGGAAGTTAAGGCCCGGCGAAAGACGTACCGGCGGCATGTTTCGTCCGAATCTCGTGCAAGACCGACCAACGGTACGTCCGGCCTGGTTAGGATACGGCATTCGACTTCCGGTTTCCCTTAGTCCTCGGGGCACGGCAGCCAGCTTCCGAACGTGAAGCCTGGCACCTGCCTGCTCGTTCTGCTTGCACGACCCTGGCCTGCCAGGCCACGACAGCGCGAGGCCAGGATGTCGCAGCCGCTCTGTCGAAAAGCGATCATCGGCCCGTCGCAGCCGCTCTGTCGAAAGGCGATCATCGGCCCGTCGATGCATGGACGACAGAAGGGGCCCTCACGACTGAACGTAAGTTATCCAGAGTCTTGCCCTCGGGCGGGCGGTGCTCTTCCCGGTGTCAAGCAAAACGTCCAACATCCGCGAGTGACCCGCGCAAACACCCTCCGGCTTTCATGGCGCCGCCGAGCGCAGTACCGTCGCCGATGCACCGTCCTGTCTTCCGAGTGCGGGGCTGCCCTCTAACGGGGGCGCCGAGAGCGGACAGAGCGGCAGATCACGGTATGGCAATCCACGCCAGCCGATTAATCTCGGCTGCTGCGCGATCGAGGTGAGGCGGCTCAGCGGTTGGAAGGGCAGGCGAGCGGGAAAGGCTGGCTCAGGATGGCCTGATTGGCGTGAGTAGGTACTGTACCAGGCAAGGCGTTAAACGCTGCGCGTCCGCGACTCGATCTGTGCCTTTCCATCTTGGTCGGGTCGTGCGTAGGACAAGAGTCGGACGATCAGGCGATCGTTGAGCAGCCCAGATCGTCCAACGCGGGCGATGGCCGCTCGCCGAGCCACGCTCGGTCGGATAGATACGCCCTTAAACGCCCCTCCTTGCCTACGTTGTGCCAGCCTTTGGCGTGCAAAGGTTGCGCCACTTTGGACGTCTGGCCAAGAGGCGGTCGCTCAGCTGTCGTCGAGTGGCTTGATTCCGACAGGCCGCCCTTGGTGTCGGCCACATGTCGACGGCGTGCGTGTGGCGCTCGACTGGATCGTTCTGCGCTCCGCCAACGGCGAGCCAGCTCGACGCTGTCGTCGTTGCCGTCCTGTCGCGCTCGAGAAGGCTGGGCGACGTAGGGCAGCAAGAGGGAGCCCAAGGAGGATGCGCGTTCCTCGCCCCTGGCTGATCGGCGGCGTGGCTGGCCCACACCCCTCAGCCCTTTGGCGGTGGCGGGCTGCGCTCCGTCCGTCGTCCTTGTGCGCTGGTGACGGGCGGGTCCGCCGGAAGAGAGGCGCGAAAGCTCTCCCTCTGCCTGGGGTTTTCGAGCTCCGTTGGCCGCCCTCCGCCCTCGGCCCGCCGAGTGACAGCCACCGCCAGCCACACAGACTTTCTTCTCTCTTCGGACTGGCTCCCGAGGTTGTCCCCCCCCCCCCCCTAGAACGTGCGCGCGCGAGAGCCGCCGAGCATGGACACGCCCTCTTTTGTGTCGGTGGCTGTGGCGAGGGCAGACGACGACGAGGAAAGAAGTCAACGACCGACAGCGGGCGGGGGGTCCCGTCGCCCGCCACCAGCAGAAGCAGCTCAGCTGAAAAGCCAAGCAAGCACAAGCAGCAGGTGACGGGGGCCAGGAGCGTGACGCAACCGAAAAGAGCAACGCTAACGAACCCCAGCCTCAACCCGCTGCGCCGCCCGCCACCGCCGCCGCAACTGCTGCTGCTGCTGCTTCCATCGAACGAAAGCTAAAGGCCAGGCCAGCAGGGTCGGATTTTCGATGCATCCCGCCTTCGCTTCGGCGCAAAAGTCTGTGCCGCTGGCTGGCTGCTTTGCGTCGGTCTGGCTCACGAGCGCCTCCAACCCTCCCCTCCCTAGACCAGGCCGGCCCGCGGGTACCGCTGCTCAGGCCGCGTACCGTCACACGACGGCATCGCTCGCCTGCGAGGCCAGAGACTCGGCCCACCGGACGGCGTGCCAGGCCGCTGGTCCGTGGACATCTGTGCGCGGCGAGCCGGCAGCTTACGTCTGTCCGAGCCCAAGCCGCTTGCTGCCACGCTCCCGCCGGCCTGACCCGAAGATCCCTGCTCGGCCCCGGTCCGAAGCGCGGCGACAGCAGGTGCCAGGCATGAGGTGGCATCGACACGACTACCAACTAAGCCGAAGTACGGCCGCCCTCGAGCTGGACCGAGGCCCGGAACAAGGGCGTGCCAAGAGGAGGGCGCTGCATCGAGGGGGGCGCCGCGGCGTCTTCCCGTCGACGACAGACAGGCTCTGAAGGCGACGCCAGCGCACTTGTCTAGCTCGGCGAACCTCGCCCTTCCTCGTCGCATCGGAAGAGGTCCGACGGCGGTGCAGCGGAGTGATACCGACAGGGAGGAGGGAGAACACGCACGCACGAACACCGCCATATGAGCATGTGCTCCCGAAGGAGCGAGGGTCTAACGGGCGTCCATATGCTTGCTGTGCAGGCATCCCTACGTACGGCAGAGCTAGGTAGCATGGCCAGCCGCTGCGCGCTCTTTGCGTGGATCGAGGGAGAAGCAACCTGCATATGGCAAGCGGTGGAAGGGCGTAAACATCCGCCTAGCCAAGCTGCTTCTCTCTACATCGGTGCACCGCCCGCCACGGCGCCCAGCATGAAGAAGTCGGGCTGGGCTGGGCAGGCTAGGCTGCATCTCATAGGCAAACGAGCCTACGTAGGCGTCCTCGGCGCGAGGCGCGGCGCGGCGCCGCTGGGCGTGGCGTGGCCAGGCCAGCCTTCCCTGACCGCTGCTTTGCCTGTACAATGGGTTGCTTGGCGATGCCCCTCGTCCCCCGAAGCCTTTCTTCGTCGAAACAGGTGCCTGACATGTAGAGTCGTGTAGCGGCAGCCAGCGCACTACCACGACAGAAGAGCCAACGCGACGATACGGCTCCAGGCAAGTTAAGGTGCCAGGCAAGTACGTATTCGGAGCGAGCCGAGGGGGCCAACAGGGCGATCACACAGCAGCGGGCGACGACGACGACGACGGCAGGTGACGACCACCAACGTCGACAAAGGCCAGGCTGGGCAGGGCAGGGCGGGCCGGGCCTCGAAATCTGGCCCCTCCTGACACGCAACCTCACACCGCACGTCGCAGATAGAGCCGTGGGCCGGAAGATTTGTTCCAGCGGAGCTGTTGAGCCGCTCTCTGGGCACCCGTCTTGCAAGCAAGCTTGGGCCAAGGGACCGGCCTGCCCGCGCGCGAGCGGGGCCAAGCCGCCGAGCGTCCAAGCAAAGAGAGAGGCAGGCAGGCAGGCAGGCAGGCAGGCCAAGCAGCAGCAGGCAGGCGATTAGGGTCGCCCCCGCCGTCGCCCCCTCGGGCATCCACATGCGGATCGGATCAGCCGAGTTCCGGCGCAAGCGTCGGGTCGGGGCGAAGGCCTTCCGTCGACTGCACCTACGCAAGCGAAGGTGAGGTCGCGCTGGCCAGCCGTCGCTGGCAGCTAACGGCCGCGAGCCCGGATGCTTTGATTTCTTTTTGGTGCGTGAAATGCGGTGCGTCAGCTTTGCGGCTCGTTTCCTGCCCTGGCCTCGCCCTGCTGGCTGGACAGGGGGACCCGGGCTGGAGGGGCCGGATCGGAGTGCCAACCCGCTGGCTTGCTCGCTGGCTGACGGGGGGCCAATTTTTTTTTTGTTTTTTTCTCAGGGCGTGGGTCGAAGTGGAGCGGTCGCCAGGTCAGGCCAAGGCCAGCCCAGCAGGCCAGCCGAGTGAGGCAACCGCTGTAGAAGTGCTGCGCCGCGCTGGGCTAGCGCTAGCTGCTGCTGCTGCTGCGCCTCTTGCTTCGGTCCGCCCGCCTCCTCTGCCACATCACCGTCAGAAGGCTGGGGCGCCTTGGCTGTCTGTCTGTCTTGGCTCTCTGCTTGCTTCGGCTTCCAGGTCCGAAGGAGGTCGTCCTCGTCCAGCACTACTCTCTCTCACAGTCACTCGCCTCACCCACCCTCTGCTGCCAGACCGACGTCCCTCGGCCTCCCCCATCCGACGCCGCCCTGCCCCTCATCTTCACCACCACCACCCCCGACACCACCACCGTCCCATCGAGCGCCCCAACCCCCGGCCATCATCACCCCGAGAAAGAAGGGATCGGCATCGCAGTCGCTGCACTCGGACCAGCACCACCTCGCCGTCACTGCACACTGCCAGCCTCGGCCGCGCAAACTCGCAGCCGTCGCTCCCGCCAACTCGAAGTCGACCCCAGCTCAGCCCCCGCTCCGCTCAGCTCGTCGCTCCCCCGCTCGCTCGCTCTGCAGTCTTTCCGACTTGGCGACCTTGCTAGCGGTGCTGGCACCCTACAGTCACCGGCTCCCAGCTCGTCCTGCTCTTTCTATCCCCCTTGGGCCTTGTCTACACTTCCAACTCGCCCCTGCCTCTTGGAGTCTGCGTCGAACATCGCCGGGCTCGCCCACTCTATAGCCGCGCAGAACCCGACCAGCCCGACTTCTGCCTTCTAGCCGTCCCGCTCGCTCCTTTGGTAAAGACGACATGGCCCTGGTTCTGGCAGCTTGACCCGCAAACAACTTCGTCACCGGTGTCTCCGCTCCTTCGGAAACGCACAGTCAGACCGCCGCCAACCGTTCACTCTCAAGGAAAAGCAAAGGACTTACACGACCCGGGCGATAGCGTCAAGCGTCACTTGCTACACCACGCAGTGCCCGCGACACAGCGACCCAGCATACGATGGCAGCCATGATCAATGCCTTCTCGTCCTGGCTCCCGCCCAAGCCCATCCCGGCTGCGGAGGGCGAAGACGTCCTCACACCGCTGGCTCGGGGCCGTGATCAGCCCGCCATGACGCCCGTCGACCGCTCCGTCACCCCTCGCGCGCCTCTTGGGCCACAAGAGCAGCTCACGGCACCGAAGGCGAGCTACCAGGAGCACGCCCGCGAAGCCTCGGATGCGACCCTCAACGGCAGGCCAGGGAGGTATCCTTCCACCGCCAGCTCCCTCGGCCCGCACCTGCAGAGGCTCACAGACGACGCCATGGAGGCGCACCACCGGCTCCACCACGAGGCCGACGAGAGCTACGGCCATCTTTCGGACCCCTCGGCGAGTCGGCGGAGCTCCTCGGCCGCGGGGCCCAACACCGTCTTCAGCTCGACCCTTGGAGGCGTCGACAGCGAAGCCGCCTGGAGCGACGCCCACGGCCGCAGCGACACCCAGACGACCAACTCGCGCAACGCATCGGCGCCGCGGAGGAAGCGCAAGATTGCCCCGCCGGAGCTGCTGGTCATCGTGCGTCCGCCCCCCAGCAAGCAGATCAACCCGCTCAACCTGCAGATCCAGCTCGTCATGCCCAGCCAGCGCCGCGAGGCCTCCAGCCGTCGCAAGAGCGGCGAGTCGACGCGTTCGCAGGATTCGTCACCGACCGCGGCGCCCGCGCGGCTCAAACGCAGCGGCTCCACAGTGTCGGACAAGTCCAGGTCGTCGGAAATCTCGACGGCCGCCTCGACGACGTCGTCGTCCTCGGCCAAGCGCGTGATGCCGCTCTACAACCTCGGCTTCCACTCGATCCTGTCGAGCGTGGTGACGGACGCCGGCACCGATCAGAAGGTGGCCAAGTACACCAAAAAGGGCGTCGACCTCGACGGCTTCGGCCTGCTGGAGCCCGCCGAGCTCGTCACCGGCGTCAACGACCTCGCCACCCTCTACCGCTCCGGCCTGAGCGGCTCTGCGGCCGCCATGGGCGAAGGCAGGGCCGTCGGCTCGATTGGCAGCGACGAGGGACTCTCGGTCGTCTCGGCACCGGCGCAGGAGCAGCCAGCAGCGGCAGCCCGTCCGACGCACCTCGAGCCGCCAACGTCGTTCCAGGCCATGACGCCAGAGGCCAAAGGTCAGGAGTCCAATCTCGGCGGCAAGCTCCTCGGCAGGTTCAAGCGCCTGTCGATGGGCATGAGGCCCGCGACCGGTCAGGCGCCCGGCGGCTCGGCATCCACCGCCGCGGGGCAGTCGGTCAGCGGCGGCGCGAGAGTGTTTGACAAGCTGGCCGCCAGGGTCAGCGGCGATGCGGGATCGGTTTCCTTTGCCGCACCGCTCACTGGCGGCGACATCCCGCAACTGACGCCGGGCGCGGGCGTCGCCGGCGGCAAGCGGACCGAAGGCTACTACTGGACCGTGCGAAGGTGGAACCGGCGCGCGCAGGACGGAATCCAGAACAGCGCCAACCCGGAGCTGCTCCCGGACGGCTCCAACCCCGTGCTCAACAGCGTCTGGAAGAGGTTCAACCTTATTAACCGCATGGGCGGCAATGAGCGGCACCCGGCGCCGCGCGACATCCCGATCCGCATCGAATGGTCGCGCGAGACGCGGCGGGCGCACAAGCGGCGCGCCACCGAGGAGGCTCGCGCGAGGATCCGCGCCAGCGCCTCGCTCAACGCATCTCGGTCGAGTTTGGAGCGGCACCAACACCAGCAGCAGCACCAGCAGCAGCACGAGGGACAGGCCCTCAGCAACGGTCACGGCAACATGCCATCCGTCTCGGGTTCGTCGACTTCGCTCCACGGCGGCAGCGACGGAAGCCTGCACCCGCCCGCCGCCGGCGCTAGGCTGCCGCCGTCGAGGCGCAATTCCTCCATGAGCGGCGCAATGTCGCCGCGGAGGTCGCTCGACCATTCGGCCGCCAGCTCGTCGGGTCTCGGCGATCACGAGACGCACGACGACGACGACGGCGGCGACGAGTCGGATCCGGAGGACTCGGAGACGCCGTGGAGCTGCCACCTGGTGCTGGGTCCGACGACGCGCATCCCGATCGGCACACTGTCGCCGGCGCCGCACCATCCCAAGCTCGTGGGCCAACTGGCGGTGCCCTTCCCGCTGCCGGACCTGGGCGCCACGGGTCTGGGCCACGACGGCGCCGGCCTGACGCGCGAGGAGCTCAAGGACATCATCATGGTCACCTGCCTCCACCTCATTGTGCGGGAAAACTTTGGCGGCATGGTCAAGAAGCGCGGCAGGTCGCGGCCCGCGACGTCGAGCGGCCATGGCGCCTGAGCTCGGTCGAGCTCGGGGCCTCGCTGTTCGCGCTCCGCTGCGCGTCGCGCCGCGCCGCGCAACTGTCTCCCGAAGCGTCACATTTTTTCACCCACCGCCACCTTTGCTCGATTCTCCGGCCCGTCCGTCACCACGTTTCCATCTCGACCTGCTCCGCGCATTTCCTGGCTTCATCGCTACCCTTCCGGTTACCCCACGCGCTAGCTCGCACACACACACGCACGCACGCATCCGTCATTATCGTCTGGTTCCTCCCACCCCCTCTTTCCCCCTTTTCCCTCTTTTGTCCCGCCGCGCTCCATTCTGGTCGACTAATTGCCCGCACCCCACCGAATCTTTCATACGGTCCTTGCCTCGACTCGCCCAGTATGGGTGTCTATCATCTGATTCTGCCTGCCTGTCTGTCTGCCTGCCTGCCTGTCTGCCTGCCTGCCTGTCTGCCTGCCTGTCTGTCTGGCTGACTGGCTGGCTGACCGGCTGTGTGTATATCCGTCTGTCTGTCTGTGATCGTCTCGCCGCTCTCGAGAGATCAAGGAGACTCTGATCCTCCCTCTCTGTCCCCACCGCATCTCCCACTCGAGTTCGGGGGAACTCCATCCTGGGTCCACGATATTCGTCAGTCGGAACTACGTGCGCACGGCACGGCACGGCACGGCATGTACGCCTGCACGCCACGCACGTAGCCAACTAGCTAGGTGGCCGTCTGACGATCCCCTCGTTCCGTGCTCATGATCTGTCGTCTGGGGGTCAAGATGCCCCTCTTCACCTTCATTGAGCCCCCGCCTTGCCTTGCCACCTCACCCACCCACCGCAAACCAGCCCGCTGCGCGTCGCTAGCATCGTTCGACCTTTTCCCTCTCCACTTTCTTGGCCCTCGCCATCAAGAGCGAGTCGATCTTTGAAGGAGAACAGAACCGAAAACGTCTGTTCGACACGACGACGCCGGCCTGCCGTCCGGGCCGTTGGCAAACGAAAAGAATTCAGGGAAAGAGGTTGAACGGGGGAAAAAAAGAATGCATTGACGGGGACTCGAACCCCGGTCGAGTCGAATCGGTTAATCGTCGGTTGATCAGACGATGAGTGGCAACGACTCATGATACCCCTACACTATCAATGCTCGCTTGAATTTCGAGCCAAAATATAAAATTATATACTAATTTTGCGGATCCGCATCTTGTCACGGAGTCGCATCTCGAAGCACCGGCCGCCGGACGACGACATGGAAGCGATCGAGGATCGCTTGACAAGGCAACGGAGGGCAACGTTGGATCTCATCCTCCCTCCTCATCTCTTCCCGAGCCGTTCTGGATACTTGCGATTGTCGAGGAATCAACTGGTGGAAGGACGACGCGGGGGACCCCAATGGCGAGGCCGTCAGACGGGCTCGACGTCGTCAAAAGTGGCTGTGTTGTCCCCACCGTGGGCAGAGGGGGATTGAGAGAGGGAGATAGAGAAAAGGTCAGAGCAACGTCGTGGGTCTCGAGGCGGCGGGGCGGGGCTCAGCTCACATCGAACGAGGTAGTCGACAAGACGCATCTTGGAGCGGCGTCGCGCCGAGTCGATGAGCCAGCCGACGTCGAAGAGGACGACGAGTCGCTTCCGCGTCAGCCTGCGTTTGGGGTGAGGGGACTGGGCTGGTCAGAGCATCGGATCGGATCGGATCGGATCGGTCGACATCCTCGGACGACGCTGTTCGGCCCGTACACACCTCGAGACGCAGGGGTCGAGATGGCCATTGACGAGGAAGAGGGTCGCATGGTCCGTCTCGCTTGTCTGTTGCAGGTGCAGGTGCAGGTACAGTTGGGACGGTTGATCTGTTCGACCCCACATCACGAGGTCGTGTCAGTGTTGTTCGAGGGTCGAGGTGCGTGGACCATCCAGAAGTCGTACTCACCTCCCATCTCGATCTCGAGACGCGCCTGGGCCGAAGAACTCAGCCAGATCCGTTCGACGTTCGAAAAAGGCGACATCGTCATCGTCATCATGTCGTGTCGTCTTCGACACCCGGCCCCCGGAGAAGGTGTCGACTTGATTCAAAAGACGGATTGCCTCGAGGTGTGGTGCCGTGGGGAGAGAGAGGCACGAGTTGGCCAGGAGGGCCAAGGCGGTCAGAGCTGCGGCGACCGCCGGCGGATGGGTTGATTCGTTCAGCGCCGCCCGCCCGCCTGCCCGCTCGCTCGTTGTTCCATGGTCCTGCTCCGTCTCGGCGCCTTTCCGACATGGTTTCGACTGCGGAAGCGACCCGAGACCCAGGCCTGACTACGCCGAGCCATGCAAGGCACCGAGTCGGCTTGCCTCACCTCCGCTCCGGCGCGCTTTCGGCCCTTGCCCGCCTTCATCACCCGCTCTTCACGTTGCGACGACGTCGGACAGCGAGGCAGGCAAGGCCACACGATCACAGACTGGCTCGGCACGGCAAGGCGGATGGGGCTTTGGATCTTTGGTGCGTGTTATTTTGGTTGCATGGCGTAGAGTGGGTGCGCATCTGCAAGTACCTGCGGCGTACAAGAGAGGTGCCGCGAAAACCCGCACAGCAGCCCGTTGCGGACCATGTGCAGGAGGGTTGTGTATGTGTGTGTGTGTGTGTGTGTGTGTGTGTGCGGGAAGAGGTGTGCGTGGACCCCCCGGCAAAGGCCCTCGGCGCTGCTACAGGGGAAGAGGGTTCACCGAGCGAGGATGGGGGTGGTGGTACAAAGAAGAGGAGGGCGGCGAGGGAGGGCGAGGGAGTGACAACGGATCAAGAGAGCGACGAGAGCGCCGAACCCCTCTGGTATGTGGGCGGTCGCGGCACCCTGGACGAAGGAAGCGCCGCGCGCCCTTTTGGAAGGGAGAGAAACCGGACCGGCGACGGCGACGACGCCGACCAGAGGAGGAGGTTTCGCACCGCCATCGCCATATCGGCAACCGACAGCAGCGCGACGACGGCGGCAGCGGCGGCCGCCCGTAAGGCCTCGGACGTTGCGCTGACCAAAGACGCACGCCGGCGCCCTACGAAGCTGCGCCGCCCTCGCCAAACCCCTTTGGACGATCCGCTTAGTAGAAGGTCGAGGGGCGCTGGGCAGCGAAGACGCCCTTGTGAGCGGGGCGGCGGTGGGGGAGGGGGAAGCGGAGCTTGGGGGCGAGGAGCTGCTTGATGTAGGGGCGGCGGATGTCCTCGGTCTTCTCAATCTCGGCGACCTTGAGGATGTGGATCGAGGCAAAGCGGGCGCGGTGGCGGGCGGCCATGTCCTGGTACATCGACTCGACGGCCTCGGCGCGCGAGAGGCCACGGTACTCCTTGTACATGTTGTGGGTGCCCGAGCGCGAGTTGTATCGCAGCCAGATGCCAAAGTTCTTGACCTTGAGCGGCTTCTTCTCGTGGATGGCGTGGACGGCGACAATCTCGCCAGTGGCACGCTTCATCTTCCTGAGCTGGCGCACGAAGTACCAGAAGCGGGACTCGGCGTGGACCTCGTTCTTGGCAAAGATCCTCATCCGGTAGAGCTTAGGGGTCGGCTCCTTCTCGGTGGGAAGGTGGCGACCGATCACCATGAATTCCGTGAGCCTGGACGACATCTTGAGGACTGCAGTGGGGCCAGCGAGGGGGCAGATGCGTGCGAACGGAGAGCAGATCGAGTCGGTGGTAGGCGAGGTGGGCAGGTGCAGGGTATGGCGATGCACAGAGGAAGTCGGGGAGGTGGAAAGTCGGAAGCGGCGGTAGGGTCGAGTGTTTGTGAAGAGAGGGAGAGGGATGGGAAGAGCAGAAGGCGGTCAGTTCACTCGCTCTGCGTGCCATCGACTGGAGGTGCACACCTGGCCGCGCTGTGCCGGGTTCCGTCTCCATCTGTGCCCGCCAAGCACCCAACTCTCAAAGCGACACCGCTCGTCCAACAGGAGCAGCAGCAGCAGCAGCAGCAGCATTCCTTTCCTTTCCGACGCCTAGCATCCGGCCCGCTTCAGCTCTCGGAGAGGCAGTGATCCACCTCTGCCATATCCGATCCATGTGGCTACACCTCTAGCCCGTGCATCGACGCTGCCTGCTCGACAGGCAGCTTGACCAACGGCTTCCTTTCCTTTCCTCCGTGCTGGTGCCGTCGCGCTGCTGCTGACGAGCTGCTGATATGGTGCGGCTGAATCTAGTGTACCCGCGCTGGGCTGGGCGGGCGCAGAGGTCGTCGCAAGCCGCTCGGAAGGCGTACTTTGTCGGCAGAAGTCGGTCCGGAGAACGGCGCGCACTGGTCTCGTATGCGATGGTCGTGTCCCTTCCGAGTGTGCTGGGTCGATGGACGGTGATGCTGGCGGCGACACTTACAGTATTTGCTGGCGGTAGGGGAGGGGACAGCGGGTTGGTGATAGCGAGGTCGGTGGAGTGCACTCAGCGGCAGCGGCTGGCTGGCCTTCGCCGACGGTCGGTCGGCCGGCCGGCCAGACTAGGGCCAGGCTGGCTGGCTGGCTGGGCCCCGCCCCGCCCAACCCGGCCAAGCCAGGCCAAGCCAGGCCAGCGGTCCAACCCAGCGGGCGGGCGGGCTTAGGCTGCCCGCTGCTGCTCCATGTCCGCTTCCGAGCCGTGAGCCAAGGGGGGCCAAAGAAATTTCGCACAGCCTCGGCCGAGGACAGAGCCGTCTGCAATTTTTGAATTTTCCTCGGAGCCGAGGTTGCAATCCGGGCACCGCACGACAAAGGCGCATCGTTGAGGCTGCAGAGAGACCTGCCTCGTCGCCTTGGACGCTGCAAACGGGCGTTCGGGCAGGTTCCTCGCGCGGCGCGCAACAAGCAGCTGGCCGACTGCGCCTCGACGATGCCGGAGAGCGTTCATCGTGCGCCGCGCGATAAACCGCACAGGACACCGGGGGCGGGGCCCCTCTGGCCCTCGCGGCGACGACGCTGCTCACGGATTCGCCCCGTCACAAGTCAATGTGGCGTTCTGTCTGCTGCCATGGGATAGCCGAGGAGGGCGCCAATCGCCACTACTCCACAAGATGACCACCGACACCTCGACAAGCTGTGTGGTGCCGCCGACTTGCGCCGACACGCTGATCAAGCAGCTCAACGTGCCCGGCTGTTGAAAGGGAGCAGGCGTGCGGTCTTCGCGACGTTGGCGATGTGTCTTTTCACGTCGTCGCGCAAGAGGCAGCGGCGGTGTGCTCAGTCGTCGCCACTGCTCAGCCTTGAGCCCAACCTCGACGGTGGCGGGTGTCTACGGTATCATCGGATCCGGTCGAGGTGGCAAGTGGAGGCATCGAGGGGCGGATGCGACTTCCCGTGCGAGTGAGCCACGGCCGCTGCAGCTGGGCGTGATCGCAGTCGCTGCTGTGGGGCGCAGAGTCGGGTTTCGGCAATCGAGATTTTTGGGAGCGTCGTCGTTGTCGGCTCGCTCGCGTTTCCGTGGGTCTCTGGTGAGGCTCCCTCGCCGCCCCCGCGTCCTCCTCGCTCGTAGCTACCACCCACATCCACTCCTCGCTCGCCCCACCACGCTTTCGCCGTCGCCGTCGTCGCTGTCTGCCACGTCCACCATCGACAGCACCGTCACCAGTTCTGACGTGACTGCTCTCGTCACCTCTCTCGAACCGCCATCCAGTGCAGCAGACCCCAACCGCCGAACGCTGCTGGCGCAACGACACCGGCTCAGCGCGACAGCTTCCTCCGGCCCTAGTCGCCCCACGGCGAGAACCAACACCAACACTTCCTTTCTTCTCGAGAATGCTGTTCGACGCGGCACACACCGACGAGCTCAAGGCCTGGCTCGCCTCGGAGCTCGGCCCCATCTGTGACGCCGACCCAGAGGTGCTCTCCGACTACGTCCTCGCCCTGCTCAAGCACGACGCATCCGAGACCGAGCTGCAGAAGCTGCTGCGCGAGCAGCTCGAGGACTTCCTCGCCGCCGAGACCGAAGGTTTCGTCAGCCGCACCTTTGACGCCCTTGCGTCCAAGGCCTACCTCGGCCCCTCGGCCACCAACTCAGCTTCCGCCCCCGCTACCGACCCATCAAGTGCCGAGGCTTCTGCGTCCTCCCGAAAGAGGGGCGCAGACGAGGATGCCGAGCGGTCATCGCCACCGAGGCAGACGCGCAAGCTCGACGACGATTCGGACGCATCCTCTTCGCCCTCGCACCGCAACGGCAGCACCCAGTCCCGACCCGCCATCTACGACGAGCCATTAGACACGCGCGGGCCCCGCTCCAGGGACCAGCGCGAGAGGGGCCCCGGTGGTGGCGGCGGCGGCAGAAACGGCGCCCGAAAGGAAATGTGCCGCGACTTCCACAACATGGGCTACTGCCCGCGCGGAGCCAGCTGCAAGTACGAGCACTCGGTCAACGTCATGCCAAACATGCCCGGCCAGATGGGCATGGGCGCGCCCTTCGGCATGCCGCCCATGATGGGACCCGGCGGCCCCATGGGCCAGATGCGGCCGCCCCACATGGGCCCGGGGCCGATGATGTTTCCGGGCGCACCCGGCTATGGCATGCCACCGCAGGGCTGGGCGCCCAACATGCGGCCCCCGCACGGCATGCAGAACCACGGTGGCGGTGGCGCTGGCAGCCCGGGTCCGCATGGGCCGAACGGCCACCCAGGCGCACCGGGCGAGGGCGGGCTGGCCGCGAGATTGGGCGGCCAGGCTTCGCCCGCGTCGCAGGCGCCACAGGACGCCGGCGCGGCCGGATCGCCGCTCGGGCCAGATGCGGCCGGAGACGTCTCGGCGCAGCAACAGCTGCCACCGCACATGATGATGGGCGGGCCCGCCGCCGCCGCTGCGGGTCCTGGCGCAGGGCGAGGAGGGTTCGGCGGACGTGGTCGCGGGAGGGGCGGCCCACCGGGGCACTTCGCGTCGCAGAGGCGCAGCAACACGACGCTCGTCATCGAAAACGTGCCGGCAGAGTACCTCGACCTGATAAAGGTCAACGAGTACTTTAAAAAGTTTGGCACCATCACCAACATCAGCATCGACGTGCCGGGCACCAAGGCGCTCGTCAGCTACTCGCAGCCCCATGAGGCCAAGGCGGCGCACGAGAGCCCGGACGTCATTTTTGGCAACCGCTTTGTCAAGGTCTACTTCCAGCGCCTCGACGAGCCGCAGGCGGGTGGCGCAGCACCTCCGGCAGCTGCTGCCCAGCAGGCGCAGCCGCGGCCGCCTTACCAGCCCAAGCCTGGCTTCGTACCCGGCCAGACGTCCAACGTCTACCACGCCCGACCGCCGGCAGCGTCGCCGGGCGCGGGCAGTGCTGGGCCAGGAGGCGCGGCCGCGTCCGAGGAGCGCAAGAAGCTCTTCGAGGACCAAAAGCAAAAGCAGGCGACGCTCGACGCGCAGCTGGCCGAGCAGAAGGCGCTGCTGGGCAAGCTGAGCGACAAGACGGCGTCGGCAGAGGAGAGGAAGGCGACGATGACGTCGCTCAAGAAGCTCGGCGACGACATCAAGGCGTCGACCGAGGCGGTCAAGGCCGCCGTCGCCGCGCTCGCCGCTGCGCCTGCCGCTGCTGGCGGTGCGGGTGCCAAGGACGCGGCGGCCAGCCAGAACTGGAGGGAGCAGAAGGAGAAGCGGGAAAAGGAGCAGCTGGACCGCGAGCTGGAGCTGCACTCCAAGGGCGCCTCTCCTGGGTCGACGACCGAAGAG